AATGCGTAAGAAAGATAATGCTCAAAACTCACCATACGCAGAACAGGATGATTGGGAAGGTTCGGCCTCAGCTTCTTCGCCGTCCTCAGACATGTCCAGCTCTTACCGGGCTGAAACCAGCAGAGCACCGGCCCCTGGATCAAACGATGTTAAAGAAATTACATCATCCTCCAGCAGCTTACTCTCGTCCACAGCCGATGAGCGCGAGAGGGAAAACCCCTTTTTAACTCATCAGCCGGATCCACCTGCGATCCCCACGAGCCCATCCTCCTCCATGCCTCAGCAAGGGTGGGTCTTATCCGTGGGAAGCAGATGGCTGCCCCCCTTTCCTCGAAAAAAGAGACAAACGAGAGCGGAGCTTTTCATTAAAATACTCTCACGATGAACGCGGATTGCCCCCTCAAGGACATCGCGTGCGTGATCTTTGCCCAAACAAACAACGCAGAGATCGTGTGTGTCATCAGGTGTCAAATAACAACGACGCGGATGCACACACCCTCTAAACGCTTTGCTAGTGCTCGCCATAACGATAGGAATATAGATCGCTCTTACCACGAAAATGCACGCTTCAAACAAAACGGTCAGTGTAGACGAAGAAGAGAATGACATGTTCTCCAGGCGCCTATTTATACTATAATCCCACCGGTAGTGATGTCATGGGCTGTCGCCAGCCAACGTGTTGTTGGTGTTTTTTCAATGTATGCCTCAGACACGGGTCACGACGAGGCGTCCCCCATAGCGACCCCTAGAGGACGCAGTTCGAAGTTCCCTTGAAAAGGAATCCCATTTACATGGATTCCTTTTGAAATAAATTTATTTTGTCTGTGAAAGTATATGTAACCGCACTTTAACACCCACTTTTCGTAATCCAATCAAGTACCATCCTACAATATCCAGAAAGTTAAATATTTCAGAATATGGAAGTAAGATTGTGAACAGCAATTTATATTCAATATTAAACTATATTGAAAACTGTGTCAAACCATGTATGGCAGTCATTGCGAGTGCACCTTGCAGGCAAAATGGTTAAAGGTCAGGAAACATCAATGTTGTTGGTTCGAACCACACAAAGGGCAATTCTTGAGCTATCTGTGCGTTTGAGCAAGCCGCTTAACCTCAGGTTATTCCAGGGAGATTGTCCCTGGAGCCTGCTGTAGAGAGTGATTTTGTGTGTGTGTGTGTGTGTGTGTGTGTGTGCGTGCACAGCAGTTTAGTGAATTCGCCTTAGAATATTTTACACATTTTTGCTGTTTTGTTGTTGAGTATTGGCACCATTGTTGTTGTTTGGGTATATTATAGATTATAAAAAACAAAAGAAAAGGAGGACTGAACAGTGCACTTAAATATCATGTCAATATTTAATTGGCCAGACCTACAGTATTAATTACTCATCTGTTCTTCTTTTCTGCAGGCAGTTTCATTTTAACAAAATTATGTAACAGCATAATTTGTCATTTGCATGGCACTGCGTGTGTCTGTTGGGTTATGTTCCATGTCTTTCTCAAGAAACGAGACATGTTTGAAACTTAATGTGTAAAGATTATAGCACTTTAATATTTGAATACATTATGACTTTAACTGAAGGACTAATGCTATTTTGTAAGACGTTAAAATTATTTAGTCAGCCATATGCTCTCTAAATCTGAGAACACAGGGATATTGTTAGCAGCTGTGGACTGAAGGTGCTAAATTTGCGGCAAAGCAAACAATTAGCCACAAATGAGTGAACTGCAAACTAAACTCTGGGAGAGACATTAATTGTGAAAAGAATTTTCTAATTATTAAGGCCTGGTCACAACTCAACTTCAGAATGGAAATAATGTGGTGTGAATTAAATAAATGCGTACAATACATATAGTACTACACTATAATTGGGTTATCTTTTTAAGTGAAATGCTAGGAATACCCTATGTGAATGTAGAATATTTCTGCCTGACATATAGATGTTAACCTTGAATTCTTATTTTGTGATAATCTGTCATAGGGTTTTTTTTTTGTTTTAGTTTTTTTTTTTTTACATCTGAAGGGGACCCAGCACTGCTCCCTGAGGAATTCCTCACTGTCCTCTAAAAGAAAAGGAAAAATACTTTTTTTTCTTGTTTCAAAGTCCTGCTGTTTATCTCTCCCCTCCCAGTGTGTGGCTTTGATATGGTTATCTATTGAAGCATGGGTTCAAGGGCAGGTCTGCTACAAATTATGCCAGAAAGCATCTTGCCTCTTCTCAGCCCATCTTTCAAAGATTTAATACTTGGTCTTTAGTACCACCAAGGTCAGTGTTGTACTTAATTTAGTATTGGACATTGTGTTCAAAGTAGAAAAAAAAACTTGATTCTGGTTAATTTCAGTAATGTACTTTTAGCTAGAGTGCTCTGCCACGGTGGTTTCACATTGAATGAAGAAATGAAGATCTAGAAAGTGAGTCATACAAGTTTGACATGAGATTTATTTATTTATTTGTGTCTATGTACAGTTTTTAAATTCACTCTATCCTCTGAAGATTAAAAGGTTTAACTTTGCTGTCAGGTGAAAAAAAAAGTTTTTCTTCAGAGAAAGGGGCGTTTGGCATTTCCCTGTTCTCCTTGTGCTCAAGGTAACCTATTAGACTCTTAGTCACACCCAGCACCTGGACTCTCAGAGTTTTTAAGTCGGCTCATTTGCACAAGGCAAATGGTAAACCAGTGGAGTTAACCCTAATTTCTTACCCCCTCCGACCATAATGGGCTCTAATGCAAGTATCCAAGGGTTCATAAGCCTTGCAAATTAGCCTGGAAATGAAAATTTGCTCTTTTATAAGGAAAAAAATAGTGCCTTATAAGCCTCTTGAAGCCCGATTATCTTGATGCATGTGAAAGAAAAGGTATTGTGCCCCACCATACTTGTTTCAAGTACTACAATAACTACAATTAAATAGATTAAAACTAATAAAAAAAAAATTAATACAATCTATTTTGTCTATTTTGTCAAAGTATTTTGTCATATATTCAGTAAAACATTTGCAATTTACTTTCTGACCTGTTCTGTCATAGTTTTGCCATGCTGTCGAACACCTGTACAACATTTTCCTGTTGTCGGCGATGAACATGCAGCTGCTGTTTTAACGGTTGCATTGCGAATCAAAGGCAAACTTAAGAAAGCAGAGGCATAAATAATAAAGATGGCATAACAAAAGGATGCAGTGCTCTGATGTCACCACAGGCGTTTAAAGAGGAGAGCCAGCCAGAGGAGCACTCATGAATAAGAGACCCAGACGAAGAAACAGCCGTTAGACAGTCAGCTCAAGCACTGAGCAATACACAACAAAATGACCCAAATGGCCCGTGCTGCGGCTAGAGGAATCATGGAAGCTCTCTCTTCCACAGCAGCTATTTTTCTCCAGCAGTTCAGCCAAGCAGGCCAAAATTATTCAGGGCATGCTGACTGCATCCTCTGTACCCTGATAGTATTGATCTCTGGAGATGGAAAGCACGACTGCTTAGCTTCACAAAAAAGAAAGAAGTGCAACATAGACAATAATGCTCAAAGACCAAAGCATCTGGGATGGAATTCAGAAAGGTCGGAGGATTTATTGAAATAGGTTGACATTTATGAAGTAATATAGGCTTCATTGTGAAGGTCTAGCCTTTTTAGAAGGCATCATTTACACCACGACTGTTTGACTTGTGAGCGAGGATTTGTTTCTCTAGCAGGAAATGAGAAAAAGGCCCATCCATAAAAGGCCCGGCTATACACTGGTATTCAGTCCAGCAGTGTGCAAATGTGAGATTGCTTAATTATATTTTGTATATATGCGTGTATGTACGTACGTATGTATTTATTAATTTATTTATTTGAGTAACCGTGCATGATTATAGTAATAATAATTCTGTATAAATAATCTTTTCCTTTCTTTTCTTCCATTTAAAAACATAGTTTCACCACCTCTGCGTGCTTAATTATATTGCCTAATTGCTTGATATTTTTTAGTAATTGTTAAGTTAATTTTTGGGTTAATTTTAATAGCTTCACATGAAAAATGTAATTTTAATTAGTCATAGTATATGTAGTAAAGTATAATTTTATAAAAATCATGGAAAATTTGTCTATGCATTCGTTTGATCATTCATTCAATCGGCAAATACATCAATAATAACCTATCCTCTGGTTTTTAGCTGAAAATAGTTTGGCAGTAGATTATGTTCTGCCAAATCTATCTCTCTGTCTCATCTGAAAATAAACAATGCTCACCCTGCAAGAACAGTTGATATGTGTTGATAGCATCATACACTTAGGACTCGCGGACCCATCCTCTTTGCACTGTGAACATGAAGATGCGAACATTTTAAATCATTGGGGTTTTGAAACAGCATGCATCCTGTTTTTCCTCTCCTGGAATGTTTTGATGGGAGCTCACACTTTTAGCGGGCTGTGTTAACATTTGCATCTCCATCACAGTGGGGCTCTTTGTCAATCAGGGCGTGTCTGAGGCCTGAAAAGAGATGATTGAAGTGAAGGGAGATTTTCATGCATTTTTCCGAAACGCTTCACTGTACCTGACGGCATGCGAAAAATGGTATGTTACCATGGTAACCCCTCCCTCAACAAATGACCTTGCCACTCTCTCTGATTTTAGCACCTGCTGAAAAGCAATATTCACTTTAATGTCCAAGGTGTCTGAGCAAAAAGAGGAAATTGTGTCTAAACAGACAAGACGCTCTAGGAGGCTGGGTTTTTGGCCTTTTTTTTTTAATATAAAGTAGGTCCTTTTGGGAGATTTTTTTCTAGAATGCCTTCTGGCTGTTCAGTTAGACACTATCTCAAATTTACACCTTGGAAGATTTTTCCCTTTGGAGTAGACACACAACAGCAGGGAGGCAGAGCACTCCACATGACTTTTCCACACATAAAACCAGCCAGGGAGTTTCTGTTATATGAAGCAGGTTTGTTGTACGTGGTGCAACTTTTGCATTGTGTTGCAAGTGAAGTTATTAGATGATGGAAGGACATTCTGTTCTTACTCACAGCTTACGTGGAGCTGGCCCCGGTTGCCGTTCGTTACTACGTTTCAGGTATGCACTGTGTAGGTCTGTCTTGGTGCAGGACGAGACTCTTTCCCGAACACCTCCTGCTCCTATTTAAATCCTTGTGTGCCCTCTATTCTGTTCACCCTCATTAACTATTGTGTCGTGCAGTCATATTATGTGGATGTGCACTGTGCTTTTTCCCCGTATTTGTGCAAAATACAACTCTTCAATAGGTTGTTCTTGCAAATTTCTCTTCAACCTGCTGAGTAGTTGAATCCAAAGTCCATTCAGCATAATGTTTTTTAGCTACTTATGAAGTTATTATTAAATATTGGTGGTTTCCTGCTTTGCATCGCTCTAATGTAATAGTGAGTCATTATTTTGAAGTCATTAATTGCTGTGGTTTTATGCAGTGCACAGATTTATGGATCGTCCTCATTCACGAATAAGCATGTCCTTTTAATGTTTACCTCATTAATGCATAGTCGTTCCCTTATTAATTCATATGTAAATTAAATGAATTCATATATCTAAGCTGATAGAGAGAATCGTAAGTGTTGTAAAATTAATATATACTACAAAATAAATTATTATATACTACAAACATACTGGACTTCTTAAAAGTCTTTTCATTTAAAGGCTTAGCTTAAAAGCATGAAATCAGTTAAAACTAAATAATAAAATAAACATTGTCTTTATGCATTTCTTTACAATACTAAAATCAAATTAAATAAATATAATTACAGTCACAATCACACACACACACACACACACATATATATTATATATTTTTTTCTGTATGTATGTTTTTAATTTACTGCCTTTTTTGTTTATTAGCAAATGGCTGTAAAATAGCTTTGTATAGTTTATTATATAGTTTGATAAAAAAATGGAAAATAATAAGTAATACTAATAATTAAAAAAATACTGTAGTAATGTTTGTGTGAGTGTGTGTGTGTGTGTGTGTGTGAATCTGCAGTTCAGTATACATTTTTACATATTATGCTCATAATTCTTTCCCAAACAATTTTGCTTTAAAATCGAAAGTGTTTGCAAAGGGTTACATTGTTCTCGTAGCTGTAAAAATAGCCAATAGTCTTTAGACCAGTTCAAACTGATCAGACAAAACCTGACGAACGTGTCTGTTGGTGTGGTGTGAATTTCCCTTTTATCCTACCATAACATATTTTACATTCATCCCTTTCACTGCCTTTCTGAATGCAGATGACTGGGACAATACAGAGCTAGAATGAAGATTTTATTGTCATTATGTAATTTACCAAAGCAAGTTCTTAGTCAGAGTCATCCAGCTCTTTAAGGAGTCTGGGATGCCTTGCAGCAAACACACTGTTTCTTGTTTTCGTGCATTAATGCTTGTATTCTCATTACAGGGAGCTTCGCATTGGCAGATCTGGGCATGTGTGAGCCTCCTCCGTCATCCACTGTATATTGTTCCGATATAAGCCTACTGCAGGACAGATATGGTCTGAATGCCGGATCCGACGCCGACTCGGACCCCGAGGGGGTCATGACCCCAGAGCGCGCCGTCCAGCTGTGGAGCGGGCAGCCCCTGAAGTCCCGCCGCAGCTCTTGCCTGTCCAGCCCCGACCACTCGGTTCTCACTCTCACCGACTCTGAAAACGAGCACAAGACTGATGAAGAATCAGGTAGGAAAGAGAGAGAAAAACACTTGGGTGTGGAGAAATGAAACCAATGAAGAGACAAATGAAAAGACACTGATGATTGGAGATTTATCAGAAGGGTAGTGCATCTAAATTAAGTGGAAAATCTGTAATTTGGTAAGACATTAGTTCCAACAACGAATGCCTGTGTAATGAGACATCTAAATGAAATGTTCTCATTCCCCCAAAGGCCTTCAGTCTTTTTTGGGGTGAAATTGAGCATACTGAATCATTGAATAAGGACTATTTATATGATTCCCAACACTTAGGCGTCAATATTTGTAAAGCCGTAGCATTTTCTGAAGACTGCATTCACTGCGCTGGCGAGATCAAAGCGATTTACAAACCAAAGAGGAATCATCTCAATGCCTGCAATCTCAAGTGGTGTTTCTCTTTGATATAACGAGACTTTATTACAACAAAGCAGCCTGTCTAACATGCCAATGTCAAGTACCACGTTATGCGTTTATCTTGTTATCAGGTCATATTTATAAAATGCTTTTCGCTGACTGTTGAACTGACACAGTTGTAGCTTCTTCCTTTCATAAAACAAGCACCAGACACAAGCATGTAAATTCAGAGACATCTGTGTGGATGTGCTGTGGTGAAGCTACAGTTCTACTTCTGTTATCAGTCTCATCAGAAAGATATCTGAAATATAGTCACTAGACACTAGTCTCATTAAAAAGATTATCTTAAGATCATTCTCCATTTCACACATTTAGTTTTAGGGCCTAGTTGTAGTTTTTGTCTTTTGATGGAAATGTCCATTTAATTATATTAGTGTTGTGCAATATTAATACATTTTTGTCCATTATACAGTACATGGTCTGAAATTACATAATTGTAGTTTATAAAAATAATATTTTAGTTAAAAATAATGTGCAAAATGACAATAATATGCATTTTTTTAATATAAACATGCATAAACATTTATGAACACAGTAATGTTTGCTGTTCAATAGTTTGGGGCCACTAAGATTTTTTTTTAAAGTAATCATTATATTCAGCAAGGATGCACTAAATTGATCAAAATTGACAGTAAAGATATTTACAAAACTAGATAGTTGCAAAACTAAATAAATGCTGTTATTTTGAACTTTCTAGTCATCAAAGAATCCTGAATCATGAGCACCAAATCAGCATATTAAAATGATCTCTGAAGGATCATGTGACACTGAAGACTGGAATAATGACTGCTGAAAATGTAGCCTTGCCATCATAAAAATAAATTGCAATTTAAAATACATTACAATAGAAAATGTTATAATATTAAAATTATTTAAAAAAAAAAATCATTTTTATTTAATTGCATTAGGTGTAGAACATTGCAGTGCTCACATTTTAACATTACATTACATTATGGATACAGCTTATTAATCTCATATTAATGTATAGAACGAGTTTGAGTGAGCTGATTAGCAACAAGTTCGGTTTACTAGTGATCAGCCCTTACAACTTAAGAGAGGCAAAACATATTATTTGAATCAATTTTGTGAGCATTCATTCTCCATTTCACACATTTAGTTTTAGGGCCTAGTTGTAGTTTTTGTCTTTTGATGGAAATGTCCATTTAATTATATTAGTGTTGTGCAATATTAATACATTTTTGTCCATTATACAGTACATGGTCTGAAATTACATAATTGTAGTTTATAAAAATAATATTTTAGTTAAAAATAATGTGCAAAATGACAATAATATGCATTTTTTTAATATAAACATGCATAAACATTTATGAACACAGTAATGTTTGCTGTTCAATAGTTTGGGGCCACTAAGATTTTTTTTTAAAGTAATCATTATATTCAGCAAGGATGCACTAAATTGATCAAAATTGACAGTAAAGATATTTACAAAACTAGATAGTTGCAAAACTAAATAAATGCTGTTATTTTGAACTTTCTAGTCATCAAAGAATCCTGAATCATGAGCACCAAATCAGCATATTAAAATGATCTCTGAAGGATCATGTGACACTGAAGACTGGAATAATGACTGCTGAAAATGTAGCCTTGCCATCATAAAAATAAATTGCAATTTAAAATACATTACAATAGAAAATGTTATAATATTAAAATTATTTAAAAAAAAAAATCATTTTTATTTAATTGCATTAGGTGTAGAACATTGCAGTGCTCACATTTTAACATTACATTACATTATGGATACAGCTTATTAATCTCATATTAATGTATAGAACGAGTTTGAGTGAGCTGATTAGCAACAGGTTCGGTTTACTAGTGATCAGCCCTTACAACTTAAGAGAGGCAAAACATATTATTTGAATCAATTTTGTGAGCATTTTTGTAAACATTTTTCAAATTTAGTCAGACCAAAGATGAAGCACAATCAAAAAGCAAACTTTTCTGTTAGTGCTTGTAAAAAAAGCACTGCAGGTTCTCCAAAATGTTGAGATTAGAGTTGCACGCCTCTGAAAGGCTTTTATTGCACACAGAAAATAAAAAGGAGAGGAAGCGAATGGAGCAAAGTGTTTAGGGAGGAGATGTGAAACTCCAGGTGGTGCTAACAGAAAAGAAGCAAGACTACCTTGTTGAGGTGAGCGTGTGTGCAGAAAGGGGAAGTAGATCTAGAGGGTTGAATGCAGGCAGTCATCGTTCAAAGCCAGCCCAGCTATGCTGCTCCATTCTTGGACATCAAGGCCACCGCATGCATTAATGGAAGCAGGTTGTGCAAAGGAAAGGCACAATGCGGGATTTATGATACCTGCAGCGAGATGCAATAAGCACCAGGTGCGTCTCATCACGCACTGCCAGGAGTGTTCCAGTTTTGTTCGCCTTCTTCTAGTGACGTGCTCCTATTGTGCGCCTTCACATGAGCTGGTGGTATGAAAGACAGGAAGATGATGGCGATGGTGATAAGGGGAATTGGGTATTGGGCATTGAGCATTGATTATCTCTCACACAGTCGGAGGATTTAACATGGGAAATTGACACTTTCCACTAATAGGGTTTAAACTGGAGTCCTGTGACTTAAATCAATACAATGTTAAACTATCAGATGTTAGATCAAATCAGCTCGCAAAATTAAAATAACACTATATGTAGCTATTTACAGAATAATAGTGTATTTGTCAAGTTTAACAAATCAAATTGACCAAAGGGATAGTTCCCCCAAAATTGAAAATTCTGTCATTAATTACTCACTCTCTTGTCGTTCCAAACCTGTGAGACCTTCGTTCATCTTCAGAACACAAATTAAGATATTTTTGATGAAATCCGAGAGCTTTCTGACCCTGCATAGACAGCAAAGCAACTGACAAGACAAGAAAGGCAGAAGGGACAGCGTTAATGTGACATCAGTGGTTCAGACGTAATGTTTTGAAGCTAGAATACGTTTTGTGCACAAAGAAAACAAAAATAGCGAAAAATTGACAATTAATCACCCTTGGTTGAAAAGTAAAAATGTTACTTAATTTTTTTATAGATATAAGCCATGTACCATTTTTGTGGAAAGTGCCAATGACTGCTACACCCCTAGGGACTTTTCATAGGATCTTTGGTGTGTCTTTGAAGGAAGGGACTTTTTTGTTTGGAATGGTGGTTGATGACACTGCCACTGAAAACCTCTCGAGACTGCAGCGAAAGACTCAAGCCCCGCAGACATTAAAAACAGTAAAAAGCAATACTTCTTCAGCAGTGCTTCATTTGACAAGATCAACTCCTCCATCGTTTTTGCCCTTTCTTTCAAGTGTAAGCATATGAACAATGTGGACAGTTTCCAGAACAGAAAACAGTTTTGAGAGTATGACAGTTATTTATGCAATAGAAATAGGGAGTAAAAATAAATCTGGATGGATTTGTGTTTGTTCAACAGTGATTATCACTTAAATGTTAGCCAGGTGAAGTATTTTGCTCTCGACTTTGCCTTCTTCAAAGAATGAATCACCACTTGCAGTTTCCCACTCAATCAAACTTATTTTACTCCCATAATTAAATATTTTCTCTATGTTCCGCACCCACTCAGATAGCTACATCTATAAATAATCTTCATTCATACATGAGCATTTAAACTGATCAAAAGTGACAGTTAAGGCATTTATAATATTGCAAATTTAGCAAATAAATGCTGTTATTGTTATCTTTCTGTTCATCAAAGAATCCTGAAAAAAAATATTATGTGACACTGAACACTAGAGTAATGCTGTTGAAAATTCAGCTTTGCATTTTACATTTTAAAATTCCTTACAATAGAAAACAGCTATTTTAAATTGTAATAATATTTTACAGTATTATTATTTTTACTGATCAAATGCAGCCTTCTTTCAAAAACATGAAAAAGTCTGGTAACACTTTATTTCGATAGTCCACTTTAGACATTCTATTAACAGCAAGTAACTTTGCAACTACATGTCAACTAGCAGTTAGTAGAGTATTAGTAGACTGTCTGCTTAATATCTTCTAACACTTTCTTTGTCAACTTATTCTACTAACCCTAAACCTACCCTAACAGTCTACTGTGAGAGTTAGTAGACATGTAGTTGCAAGTTAATGAGAATTAGTTGACATGTAGTTGACATGTAGTTACAAAATTACTTATAGTTAGTAGAATGTCTAAAGTGGACTATCGAAATAAAGTGTAACCAAAAGTCTTACTGACCCTAAACTTTTTGCATCTTGCATTCCACAAAGAATAAATCACCATAAACACCATTTCCCACTCAATCGAACTTCTTTTACTGCCTTAATTACATCTTTTCTCTACGGTCCACACCCACTCAGATGGCTGCTCTATGAATAATCTTAATCCATACATGAGTATCTGCTTCGTGTCCAGCTGTATTTGTAATTAGCACACAAGCACCAAAGTGACGTGTTTTGTAGCCACCTGCCATCTCACATTCTTGGTGACACAAGTTCTTCACTCGGGTAATGGACAGCATGCGTTTCAAAAAAGTAGAAGTTGAGTTTGATGCGCATTTGGCCTGTGGGCGGCATCGGTGGCCTTATTGCCACTGTGACAGA